ATAAAATTTTTATGCAATCAGTTGCATCATTATCTAAAAAAAGGAATGATAGTATTGTTTTCCTTCTCTTGAGATCTCTGAATTTATTGACAAAGCAAAAAATGATCGAAGCTAGTGTTTTCCATGGAAGTGAAATCTACAACTAAATTGACAAGTGAAACGGAATTTTTCAGTCCGTTTCTTTGAGCTACGGACAGTCACAATTATGCACATGGTTGAGCACAATGTTAAAAAGAACGAGATTCGGTAGATTTCTTAATAAGGATAATGGCGGGGGGAAAGGCGGACGAAGATTGGTAAGTGTGCCTTCGTGTATTATGAAGTATACTCGAGTCGAGTATTGCACGAAAGTTGGGGAAAATCGGCGTGGCTGCAATGAGACCTAGCAATCGATAAAGCTCCTCCCCTTCAACGTTGGTCAACGTTTCTCCCATTCTGTTTCGTTAACCATGTAAGAAAGTGGAAAATAACAGAGGGGGAAGGGTGAAAGTGGTGTAAAAGACGCGATCGATACGAACCGGCGTCTGAAAGGGTTTCCAAGGCATTCATTTTTGGAAGGGATGAAACAAAGAATTACACCCCCGGGACATGACATTTCTAACGATGCGTTTCACGTCGAAGAAAATGACCTGCCTGCGTAGCAGGTTGTTCTTGCAGCGAATATACAATGGCTTCTATTTCAATACAGATTTCTACGAATTCTTGTCTTTTCTTTTTAATCGAATTATTATTATACAAGTTTTGTCTAACGATCTTCGAATCATTTATAAATATTTATAACTAAACGATCTCGGAATTATTATTTTTTTCTTGCGAACGAAGATCTATTTATATTCTTGATAAAAAGTACAGAAAGAGTAAAACTTTACTTTGAGAGTGAAAGGAAGATTAGATTGACATCCTATGAATGTTTTATAATCAAAAATTCATTAACTTTTTTTATTACATTAAATAACATTTTCCCTTGAGAATTCACACGTCCATACTTTTTCCACAAATTCAACTAAATTATAACTCTCGCCACGGAATTGCCATGAGTAGCAGGATGATTATAGCATGAGTGTCAGAAAGGATCTTATTTCACTTGACGCGAATCGTTCAATTGAAGAATTGAAGCCACTTGACGCGGCTGTCATAACTGAAAATTCCCAATAATAAATATAAAATACGATCTTCTCTCTGTTTCGTCACTTGCGTTATTCATCACCTTCGTTCTTAATTACTGACATGACGTTTTCAAAAGATGTTCTTCCCTCTGCTGTTTCCTCGATATTTATCTTACTCAAAGGAAGAAGATTATTCACGAAAGTAACAGGCTCGTTCAGCTGGGAAACGTTTCGTTGATCGAGAGGCAGGAATCACTTTCTAAAAGCTATGCATCTTGTTATTGCCGGCTTGCTATGGAACTGTAATTAAAGATTTGAAATTCACGCGTGCGAGTAGCAAGCCGCGTCGGCTTGGTTTCATTGCAAGGGAAATTAATCCGCGTTTATCTCTCATGCTTTTACGCGCCCCGTTAAATATTAATAGCCAATTAATGATATAAACAGCATTGATTATCTGCTAGAATTCTATTCCATGACTGGCGTTTACTCCGCGCGCACGATTCAAGGAGGTTCTTAAGTGCGAGTGGAAAATAGTAAATTGCAAAGACGATGTTGGTAAAAAAAAAAAAAAAAAAAAGCCAAGATCCGTGTTTTGTACAGTGACGGACGGCTGCTTGGAATAAACTAGAGTGGTTACTTGCAGATTAACATTAGATCGTATGAGATTCCTTTACAAGTAAATCAAATAAATTAGTCACAGTTCTTATAGAATTAATTAACTTGGAAATTATTGGACAGAGATAGAGGTTCATGCAAGGTATCTAAGCGTCAACACGCGTACGGGTGCAGTTCTCGTGGCGCGTACCTGCAATGGGAAACCTTATATCTCGTGCACACGATACTCGTTGACGGGTGTGTTAAGGTAAATGAAAAAAGGGAAGAGCCAAAGAGAGTGGAAAGGGATCGTCTTTACATGAAAGAAGATCACGTCGGTCGGGCGATCCGCGATCCTTGAAATTCATGCGAGCATAAAACGACCAGAATCTGGTTTTGTCTGGCTTGTTTCGTGCACGGGTAATTTTTCATCCACTGAATCGAAATCGAAAATCGAGCAGCATTCTCTCTTCCATTTCATGGCGTGCTCCACTCTAGTCTAGTATAGAGGTCCGAGGCATATGTTGAAAGTAAACCAAAGGAAGAGAAAATTAATTTTTCAACTAGAAATACGCGCGTTGAAAAAAACAAAGAAAGAAATCAAATTTGGAAGCATCTCTAAGCCGTTCGAATTCTTTCGAAAAGGAATCTGTGAATTAATAAGTCGTTTCAGGATCGTATAATTCATCCTTTTTTTAAACTTTCTCTGCTCGGGATTTATCGACGGCTGTTTCCTAAAACAGTTGAATAATTAGCGAAATGGCCACGTCCTCGATAACGGGAACGACGAGCAGAGCTGGTACCATGTGGCGAACGGTGATTTATTATCAGATCCGTACCGTGATCAAGTGATGGATCGTTGAAAGAGAATCGATCGTGCTTTTTCCGGCTGTTTGCTTTGTTTGCCGGCATTTGAACGGTTGCGGAACAAAACTTATGGTGATAATTCGCCACGTACTATCACGTGGAAGCAGGTGAACAGAGACGAACGACCGACTTCAGGCCTTTCACCCCGGCATAATTTCTGCCCGACTTTCAATCTCTTTCCCACGTATTCAACCTGTGCCCTCTATTGTATGCTACGGCCTACGGTTCGAAAACGGTTGTTAGCTAAATCGTCGTTATTGAAAACCATAGCTCGGCCGTTGGCCGCGATACGATGGCTGATGCATCTTGCCCGTTAGAATACCGCTAGAAGGTATGAATCGAAGTTTGTATGAAAAACGTTTGGAATGGAGTTTGATCGGTATCGTGCACAGCCAACCCTTCTAGAATTATCTACGGCGCACTTCTGAATATTCGAAGTTTTTGACAATCGGAAACTCTGGATAATCAATCTCGAAGAATGAATTCGGAGTAAAATAGATTTACTCCCGATGAACGAACGAACATAACATTAATGATCGGAAAATTGTGGAAAGTCGATTGTCGGAGACTGGTAAAGTCGAAAGAAAATTTAATAATTCAATGTTGGAGGAACAGTGATCCGTATTTGCGAAGTACTGCGAAGTATAGTGCGAAGGAGGAGTTCGTTTCAAGTTCACAGCAGCGTCATTTCACACGTTGAAGCGACGAAGAAAGTTTGTTTCATAAAATGAGGCTAACGGAGAATGTTCCAAGTGCCTCTGTTACTTCCGCTAAAGCAAAGATCTCATCTTCCCTCGTTGCGATGGGAGTTTCAATGGCGATGTTTCATTTGTAAACAAAAGAGTGTGATTAAGCCACTTTACGGATTAACGGGTTATTAAATATATATATATATATATATATATAGAGAGAGAGAGAGAGAGAGAGAGTTAATATATATATATATATACATATATATAAGAGAGGGTTAATAAATATATATATATATATATATATATATTTAAGAGAGTTAATAAATATATATACATATTTAAGAGAGTTAATAAATAAATATATATATATATATTTAGAGAGTTAATAAATATATATATATTTAAGAGAGGTAATAAATATATATACATATTTAAGAGAGTTAATAAATAAATATATATATATTTAGAGAGTTAATAAATATATATATATTTAAGAGAGGTAA